GCTTGGATCCGATGATCTGGGCTCATTCCAGTGGGCTGAGCGGTCTCCTTGTCAGCCCTGCCATCCAGCGCAAGCAGCTCGGCAAAGAGAGACGCGCCCGGCTCTTCCCTCAGCCCAGCCAACTTCGCCTGGAACTGACTTCCGCTTGGTGTAAGTCAATATCAGCTGGACTCAGTCCATCTAAACCGCCCCTGAGAAGTTGCTGGTTCGAACATGGCAAAACCAGGGGAGCCAGAAGAGCGTTGGCAACGGGCTCAATGGGGCTGGCTATCAGAACGCTTCAAATCAGGCATGTGCTGTGGGGCAGGAATGCAGACCATGCTGCCCACACGAACCGATCAAAACAAGAATCGCAGCAAGCGAAGGCTGTCGGTAAATGCTTTTGACCCATCTGCGCCTGCACCTGACCAGGCCCCGGGAAGGCCTAAACCCAGACAAACTGAACTGTCCTATTTGTCCCCCCCACCCCCCGCAGGTCATCCTGCAGCCCTTCCACATCCCATTCGCCAGAGGCTGCGTCAAAGTAATCCTCCTGCCACAGGGAACAAAGCAAAGTCGGTCACGTGCCACTTGCCACCTCAGCGACGAAACACTGTCAAGTTGACCATTGCTTGGATCCGATGATCTGGGCTCATTCCAGTGGGCTGAGCGGTCTCCTTGTCAGCCCTGCCATCCAGCGCAAGCAGCTCGGCAGAGAGAGACGCGCCCGGCTCTTTTCTCAGCCCAGCCAACTTCGCCTGGAACTGACTTCCGCTTGGTGTAAGTCAATATCAGCTGGACTCGGTCCATCTAAACCGCCCCTGAGAAGTTGCTGGTTCGATCATAACAAAACCAGGGGAGCCAGAAGAGCGTTGGCAACGGGCTCAATGGGGCTGGCTATCAGAACGCTTCAAATCAGGCATGCGCTATGGGGCAGGAATGCAGACCATGCTGCCCACACGAAACGATCAAAACAAGAATCGCAGCAAGCGAAGGCTGTCGGTAAATGCTTTTGACCCATCTGCGCCTGCACATGACCAGGCCCCGGTAAGGCCTAAACCCAGACAAACTGAACTGTCCTATTTGTCCCCCCCCCCGCCCCCGCCCTTTCCGCCTTTGTCATGCGCAGGTCATTCTGCAGCCCTTCCACATCCCATTCGCCAGAGGCTGCGTCAAAGTAATCCTCCTGCCACAGGGAACAAAAAAAAGTCGGTCACGTGCCACTTGCCACCTGAAACACTGTCAAGTTGACCATTGCTTGGATCCGATGATCTGGGCTCATTCCAGTGGGCTGAGCGGTCTCCTTCACCTCAGCGACGAAACACTGTCAAGTTGACCATTGCTTGGGTCCGATGATCTGGGCTCATTCCAGTGGGCTGAGCGGTCTCCTTGTCAGCCCTGCCATCCAGCGCAAGCAGCTCGGCAAAGAGAGAGGCGCCCGGCTCTTCCCTCAGCCCAGCCAACTTCGCCTGGAACTGTGGTGTAAGTCAATATCAGCTGGACTCAGTCCATCTAAACCGCCCCTGAGAAGTTGCTGGTTCGAACATGGCAAAACCAGGGAGCCAGAAGAGCGTTGGCAACGGGCTCAATGGGGCTGGCTATCAGAACGCTTCAAATCAGGCATGTGCTATGGGGCAGGAAGGCAGACCATGCTGCCCACACGAAACGATCAACACAAGAATCGCAGCAAGCAAAGGCTGTCGGTAAACACTTTTGCCCCATCTGCGCCTGCACATGACCAGGCCCCGGTAAGGCCTAAACCCAGACAAACTGAACTGTCCTATTCCCCCCCCCGCCCTTTCCGCCTTTGTCATGCGCAGGTCATCCTGCAGCCCTTCCACATCCCATTCGCCAGAGGCTGCGTCAAAGTAATCCTCCTGCCACGGGGAACAAAGCAAAGTCGGTCTCGTGCCACTTGCCACCTCAGCGACGAAACACTGTCAAGTTGACCATTGCTTGGATCCGATGATCTGGGCTCATTCCAATGGGCTGAGCGGTCTCCTTGTCAGCCCTGCCATCCAGCGCAAGCAGCTCGGCAAAGAGAGACGCGCCCGGCTCTTTTCTCAGCCCAGCCAACTTCGCCTGGAACTGACTTCCGCTTGGTGTAAGTCAATATCAGCTGGACTCGGTCCATCTAAACCGCCCCTGAGAAGTTGCTGGTTCGATCATAACAAAACCAGGGGAGCCAGAAGAGCGTTGGCAACGGGCTCAATGGGGCTGGCTATCAGAACGCTTCAAATCAGGCATGCGCTATGGGGCAGGAATGCAGACCATGCTGCCCACACGAAACGATCAAAACAAGAATCGCAGCAAGCGAAGGCTGTCGGTAAATGCTTTTGACCCATCTGCGCCTGCACATGACCAGGCCCCGGTAAGGCCTAAACCCAGACAACTGAACTGTCCTCCCCCCGCCCTTTCCGCCTTTGTGATGCGCAGGTCATCCTGCAGCCCTTCCACATCCCATTTGCCAGAGGCTGCGTCAAAGTAATCCTCCTGCCACAGGGAACAAAGCAAAGTCGGTCACGTGCCACTTGCCACCTCAGCGACGAAACACTGTCAAGTTGACCATTGCTTGGATCCGATGATCTGGGCTCATTCCAATGGGCTGAGCGGTCTCCTTGTCAGCCCTGCCATCCAGCGCAAGCAGCTCGGCAAAGAGAGACGCGCCCGGCTCTTCTTTCAGCCCAGCCAACTTCGCCTGGAACTGACTTCTTCCGCTTGGTGTAAGTCAATATCAGCTGGACTCAGTCCATCTAAACCGCCCCTGAGAAGTTGCTGGTTCGAACATGGCAAAACCAGGGGAGCCAGAAGAGCGTTGGCAACGGGCTCAATGGGGCTGGCTATCAGAACGCTTCAAATCAGGCATGTGCTATGGGGCAGGAAGGCAGACCATGCTGCCCACACAAAACGATCAAAACAAGAATCGCAGCAAGCGAAGGCTGTCAGTAAATGCTTTTGACCCATCTGCGCCTGCACATGACCAGGCCCCGGTAAGGCCTAAACCCAGACAAACTGAACTGTCCTATTTGTCCCCCCCCCCGCCCCCCGCCCTTTCCGCCTTTGTCATGCGCAGGTCATCCTGCAGCCCTTCCACATCCCATTCGCCAGAGGCTGCGTCAAAGTAATCCTCCTGCCACGGGGAACAAAGCAAAGTCGGTCACGTGCCACTTGCCACCTCAGCGGCGAAACACTGTCAAGTTGACCATTGCTTGGATCCGATGATCTGGGCTCATTCCAATGGGCTGAGCGGTCTCCTTGTCAAACCTGCCATCCAGCGCAAGCAGCTCGGCAGAGAGAGACGCGCCCGGCTCTTCTCTCAGCCCAGCCAACTTCGCCTGGAACTGACTTCCGCTTGGTGTAAGTCAATATCAGCTGGACTCGGTCCATCTAAACCGCCCCTGAGAAGTGAGGGGGTGCACCAACCACGCTTCACAACAGCTTTCCAACCACGACAGAAATTGTTCCTACCACGACTCGGAATTATTTTTCTTACTACGAAAAAATAATAATAATCACGATAAGCTCAAAAAGCGGATCCTTCCTTCCTTGAAACAGGCCTCCCTCCTTCTCCTGCTTCCTTCCTTCTTCCCTTCTTCCAACAATGGACGGTTTATTCAAAGAACGTGTGTTTTGCACCTTTGGCACCCAAGACAACTGCAAAACACACGTTCTTTGGAACAGCCGTCCATTTCTGGGGCCCTGTTTCAAACAACGTGTGTTTTGAGCTTTTTGGCGCCCAAAAACTGCAAAACACACGCTCTTTGGAACAGCCGACCATTAGCTCCTTGCAAGCTCCTTATAAAGCTCTTCACAAAGCTCCTTATAAAGCTCCAAATACAGCTCCTGAAAGAGCTCCTCACAAAGCTCCTTATAAAGCTCCTGAACTTTCTGGGGCCCTGTTTCAGAACGTGTGTTTTGAGCTTTTCAAAAACTACAAAATTCAACGTTCTTTGAAGCGGCCGTCCATTTCTGGGGCCCTGTTTCAAAGAACGTGTGTTTTGAGCTTTTTGGCGCCCAAAAACTGCAAAACACACGTTCTTTGGAACAGCCGTCCATTAGTTCCTTACAAGCTCCTTATAAAGCTCTTCACAAGGCTCCTTATAAAGCTCCAAATGCAGCTCCTGAAAAAGCTCCTTATAAAGCTCCTGAACTTTCTGGGGCCCTGTTTCAAACAACGTGCGTTTTGAGTTTTTGGCGCCCAAAAACTGTAAAACACACGTTTTTTGGAACAGCCGTCCATTAGCTCCTTACAAGCTCCTTATAAAGCTCTTCACAAGGCTCCTTATAAAGCAGCTCCTGAAAGAGCTCCTTATAAAGCTCCTGAACTTTCTGGGGCCCTGCTTCAAAGAACGTGTGTTTTAAGCTTTTTGGCGCCGCCCAAAAACTGCAAAACACACGTTCTTTGAAACATTCGTCCATTTCGAACAGCCGTCCATTAGCTCCTTACAAGCTCCTTATAAAGTACAAGCTCCTTATAAAGCTCTTCACAAGGCTCCTTATAAAGCTCCAAATACCGCTCCTGAAAGAGCTCCTCACAAAGCTCCTTATAAAGCTCCTGAACTTTCTGGGGCCCTGTTTCAAAGAACGTGTGTTTTGAGCTTTTTGGCGCCCAAAAACTGCAAAACACACGTTCTTTGAAACAGCCGTCCATTTCGAACAACCGTCCATTAGCTCCTTACTAGCTCCTTATAAAGCTCTTCACAAGGCTCCTTATAAAGCTCCAAATGCAGCTCCTGAAAAAGCTCTTCATAAAGCTCCTGAACTTTCTGGGGCCCTGTTTCAAAGAACGTGTGTTTTGAGCTTTTTGGCGCCCAAAAACTGCAAAACATACGTTCTTTGAAACAGCCGTCCATTTCTGGGGCCCTGTTTCAAAGAACGTGTGTTTTCAGCTTTTTGGCGCCCAAAAACTGCAAAACACACGTTCTTTGAAACAGCCGTCCATTTCGAACAGCCGTCCATTAGCTCCTTACAAGCTCCTTATAAAGCTCTTCACAAGGCTCCTTATAAAGCTCCAGCTCCTGAAAGAGCTCCTCGCAAAGCTCCTTATAAGCTCCTGAACTTTCTGGGGCCCTGTTTCACAGAACGTGTGTTTTGAGCTTTTTGGCGCCAAAAAATTGCAAAACATTAGCTCCTTAGCTCTTCACAAGGCTCCTTATACAGCTCCAAATGCAGCTCCTGAAAGTTTTGCAGTTTTTGGGCGCCAAGAAGCTCAAAACACACGTTCTTTGAAACAGGGCCCCAGAAATCGACGGCTGTTTCAAAGAACGTATGTTTTGCAGTTTTTGGGCGCCAAAAAGCTCACAAAGCTCCTCATAAAGCTCCTGAACTTTCTGGGGCGCTGTTTCAAAGAACGTGTGTTTTGAGCTTTTTGGCGTCGAAAAACTGCAAAACACACGTTCTTTGGAACAGCCGTCCATTAGCTCCTTAGCTCTTCACAAGGCTC